ATTAGGCTAGATATAGATATAAAGACATTAAAACTATGTTAAGGTATTTCAATTTGCGGGAGTAAACGTCTTAAAGAACTCTTTGTAATAGTATAAGACTGCTTTGTCCTTTTTACTGATAAACCGATGTGATATTAACTGAGGTTGCCGAATCTCAGGGGTAAACGCCATTTAAACCAATTTCAATTTTTCCTTTTTTCTGGTAAAATTTTGTTCCATATGTTATAAAAGTTAACTTAAGTTTTAAATTTAAGCAAAGGCTTCAACTTTTAACGGGTTAATAAGACGGAAAATTAATAATAAAATTAACGGCAATGATAAGATTTAAAATTGATATTTCGATGTTCATGACTGTAGAAGAAACTCAATCTATAATACTATTTATGAACCTATCATTATGTTCAAAGAAATAGAGTATTTTATATTGTTTTCTTGATTTTACGCGAATATTATACATATTAAATGAAACTACTTTACGGATTTTATCGCGTTTTTTATTTTAATTTAAATTCCCGACGTTTCGAACCCTTTCCAGCGTTCATGGTCTGCGTCATGCGTTCATCTCTCGTTCGAATTATCGTTGTAAAACGATATTCGAAATTGTTTGTATGCTGGAAAGGATATAACAATAGATGGCGCCAAGCATTGCTTCAAATGCTAAGAAAACAATGTAGAAGAATGCGTTAAGATTTTCGTCGGTGTGGCAATCAGCCGTTTAGCTCAGTGGCTAGAGCGTCAGGCCGCGAATGCCGAAGACGTGGGTTCGATTCCCACAACGGCGACAATCTTTTCGCACTTTTTCTACATATTTTCATAATACTATTGAGACTATAATTTATTAACAAGCAAAAACTATAATTATACAAATCCGTAATGTTCAAATGCGGCTTCGAATCGAAAACACTCAGCCAAAGCTTTGAAGTTGCAGTTGAAAGCGCGGGAAAACTGTATGAAAAGAAAACCGTATTCCATATCGTTGTAGGGCAACAATTATTGGAAAAAGCGTTGCGAAATTGCAAAGTTATGTACGAACGTTTTGAAAACTGCGAACGGAATTTTTTTGTTCATGCATGCAGAGTTGGTTTCTATTAAAAACGTTTGCTCGTTCCCACAAAATGTGTTATGGTAGAGAAATATAAATCTCGTGCAATATACTGTGTGTGTTATACACGTTAAACTTATATCAGTCATAAACGTATATGTACTCTCGCCGCACTGTAGCCAACCACTTAGTTGTAGTCAACGAGCTATAAGCTCTTTAATTCTTTAAGTTGGCAACATTGATGACTCCGTGGCGCAGTGCCAAGGTATTGGCTTCGGCATCGGGGGTCGTCGGTTCGATCCCCATATGGGACTACTATTTGAGTGACCTATATATAGTTTTTTCGCACCTGGGTGTTTGTCCAATTGAAATTCATGTTTGTGAAACGTCCTCACAACACAGTATAATGTTATCCTAAAGTAAGGACAATGTTTAAAATAAAAAAATGTCGTCTCAAAATCTTAAATCAAAGTAGGTCGCGTTCATTAACAATCTCTTGGCCTATGCCAAAGCTGAAACGCTAAACTCTTATTGAGGTATGAAAAGAAAATTTCAGCCTCTCTTTTTGTTACGGTCGCTATCTATTCATCTCGTCGGGGGGATTTGCCGGTAATCCAAGAGAATCCCTTTAACGGCGCAGAAATTAAAATTAACCTGCAGATGGAACTAAAGCCCTTCTTAACGCGGTGTGTCCCAAATGGTGGATTCTAAGCGTTTTCATTAGTCGTCTCAAGTCTTTTAACCGACTTAAAAAGAAGGAAATCGTGAACCGATTTTAATGATTCTTTTATTATTTGAAAGCTGAAGCTTCCCATGTGGTCCCATATTAGTTTCATTGGTATTGGATCTTGTGCTCCGGAGATATTAAGGGAACTCCTGAAAATGTATACAGAGCGAGATACGTGTACAGAGCTACGAAGTCGGTTTTTTTTTCGTTAAAAAAATAGACTTGTAGTTTTGTGGAAAGTAAAGTAGTAAACTTTACTACTTTATGCCATATTATATTATATATATTAAGATATTCATATGTGGAATCATCGCATATTCGTTTTGCTAGATCATTACGGAAACAGTTCATACTTTCCATATGTAGCGCTTGTTTATACGGGGCCAGGCTATAGTACATATTAGATATCCGCGTAGAATGTCGTATTCCGGCTAATAAAATAAATATATAAATAAAGCATTATATATAAAATAAAGTAACAGCCTAAATATGTCCCACTGCTGGGCAAAGGCCTCCTCAGTACTTGGGGTATCACGGCATTCTCTACCACGTAGCCCCACTGCGTATCGGCACACATATCTTCGAAAGAAAATATGCCGGTTTCTTCACGATGTCCGGTTTCCTTCACCGCTGAGCACGTGAAAAGTCAACACTTAGAATTAACAATTTCATTGGTGTCGGCACCGGGGATCGAACTCAGGTTGCTCGGGTATATTGAATGAAAAGCGAGCGTCCGGACACTGAGCTATTGAATTTTCTACTCGCGACGTCGAAGCCAATACCTTAGCAAGTGCTGTACGGAGTCACCAAATAAATTATAAATTAAAATAATTAAAAATCTACTAATAGCTACATTGAGGTTTTTGTGCCAGCTGATTGTTCTCATTAAAAGTACAATAAATTTATTCTAACTGGAAACCCCAAACGTAAATTAAATACCGTTTCAACCTAACCGCTAACCGCAATTGATCACCGCAGTAAGACCACAAGGATCTAAGAGCGCAAACAGGGCATTTCACTTATTTTTTTAATTAAAAGCCATAATCCCCTTCTGGCGCGGAAATGTCGAAAATGAGAATTAAGTCAAGGCGTGTTTAAAATTTCAGACGCGGAGGTTTGAGCCGACCGCCTTCACTCGGGAGAAAAATTAGCTGCTCAGATAATAAAGAACGATTTGGAAAAGATAAAGAGGGGGAATTTTTGTCTGTTATCTTCGGTGAGATTGTCTCAACGTTTTTAGGTAGAAAATATTTAGTGTGTAAACTAGTTTGGTTGTTGTAAATATACTCTTTTTTGTCATTCGATATCTGATACGTCCGACGGTATATGTTGAACGTTTAAAAGTAATTATATACGTGAAACTATAATATTAAACTTTTAAAATAAAACCTATTTACGGTTTTTTCGCGTTCGATTATGTATCGAACAGTTACGGGCACTTGCTAAACTTCTTTTTATTAAAGTTATATTGTGTAAAGTTTATAATTTATAGGTTAGGTTAAGTTAGCTACGGTTGCCTATAAGAAAATGCTTCATTAGCAGTAAGGCCGCATATGTACACTGTGCTTCCTGTAGCTTCTTTCTATGTGGGCAATAACGTATATTCTATTCTATTCTATTCTATATAGGGTGACGTAAGTTGCAACTAAAGAGAAGGTTAGTCTTAAATTTGTACAAGTGTGACTCAGCACATCTTGTAAATTTTAATTTTACTTCTTAAGTGTGACTCCCGTGACTGGGATGATGTTGGTAGAATTAAGTTAAGAGAGGCAATTAATCAAAGAAGAGGAAGATGCTTTCATTATAGTTTCATCCACTCTAATTGCTTCTCGTCCCAGACGGAATTGACAATTCACATGATGCATTTTTAGTCGAGCAAATTAAATCCACTGCAAAACACGAGTATTTCCAATGCTATCACAGTCGAGGGTATGCCCGGCGGCACTCGCGATCAAAAACACCGATGGAGAATTGTCATTCGATTGTAAAGCATAGTGCACACGGCCTCCACTCGAAAACGGACGGGCGAATTGGCGGCTGCGTCCGCTAGAGGGCGCTCGACCCATCGCCAGCTGATTGTCCCATTTCCCCCGCCAACGAGGATGCAATTAAACGCCTCTCTTTGTAAAGTGGTCGCATGAATTAACGCATGTTATGTAAGCTGTTCGCTGTCACCGCCGCTCCACTCGCAGGATTTTTCCGGAATTATATGATAGCATCTGTCATTTCATCACATCGAATGTGAACAATTCGTAAATGTATATCGTCAGAAACATTTTCTCATTTGTATTGTGTAACGTGGTTTTTGTGATGTTCGAAAATGGCGGATGTATGTACAAATTACTATTATATACCCTGCTAGTCAGTGAAATATAGAAAAATTCTACCTTTCTTCGTCTACGCATTAAAAGGTACTGCCAACGCTGTGATTTTATCTAGCCTTTTACTCAGTTTATTTTTCTCTCAAGGTTTCGAATATAAACTGTAGTTTTTGCAAAATTCCATTTCTTAAAGAACATTTTGAAACTTTTGAGATAATGATTACGCAGAAGCCAATTAATAATTAACACATTAATTGTATGTCAAAATTTAGGTAGTTGATAGTTGTTTTGTTTGTTTTCGGACTACTGATGAAATATTAGAGAACTTTTGATAAATGAAGTACTTAAACAAGTTACAAGGGTGACATAAATCTTGCTTATCATCTGAAAATGGTTTTATGGGCTCGGTTTTTATCTAGTATCATTAAGACATCTATCGTCTAAGAAGGCAACTTTTTGTTAGTAATAACTCATTCATTTCGAATAAAACTCAGCTGGAGAAGCGGATATAACACGTTTAAAGAGTAAACTGTGGTAGTAATATTAAAAAAATTATTCTAAGTTGCATTGTCTAATATTCGAGTATAATTTAGTTCCCTGTTTCCATTAATAGTCACAGTTGTAATAATCCATGTTACTATGTAACAGATCTGACGAGCCCGTCAAATTTTCTCTTCTTCAACTAAATCGTTGACTCAAACATCACTAGCATTCTCTCCGCACGTGTGCCACTCAGGAATCTTCGATTTCCTACTCTTGTTTAAATTAGTGTCACATTTGAAAATAGTGAGTTAGGTACTCCAATGTTGACAATGGGTGGGAATGATTACTTACCTGCTCGCCCCTAGTCTGCCGCCTTCATTAATCACAAGGGAACTTCGTGGCTTATCTATCGCAATGAATTCCTTACCTTGTCCCTGATCTCCTGGCGCATCTTCTCCCGCTCCTCCTCCATCTTGCGGTGCTTCTCCTTGCGTCGCTCCTCGGCCTCGCGGATCGCCTCCTGCCGTTCGCGTTCGGCTTCTTCTTCCTTTTCCTTGTCATCGCTGTCGTCGCCGTCACCGCCGACCGCGCCTGCAACAATGGACGCGGCGTTCATGATAGTATCTAAAACGAAATTTGTCCGGTCTGATAGCCCAGTGTCCGGGCGCTAGCCTTTAATTCAATATACTCGAGCAACCTGAGTTCGATCCCCGGTGCCGGCACCGATGAAGTTTTTAACTTTAAGTGCTGACTTATCACGTGCTCCGCGTTGAAGGAGAACATCGTGAGGATACCTGCATATTTTCGAAATAATAGCAAAAAAAATATATTTTTCGAAGTTATGAAGTCCGCCAACCCGCAGTGGGGCCGCGAGGTGGACTATGCCCTGATACCCTCGGTATAGAGGAGGCCTTTGCCCAGCCGTGGGACATGTATAGGCTGTTACTTTACTGGTCTGATTTATTAGTTAAATGGTACAGTTTGAGCAATACGCCCTTAGAACGTTCGACGTGAAAACTGTACAGCGGGAAGGCCGTTGTTAAATTAATCATGTATGCTATTTTTGCCCGTGATAAATTATTTTCTGTCCGAGGGAATGAATGATCTAAAGTGCCTGAGCCGTCGAAAATTTTATCTAAAAGTAAACTCCTAATTAACAATGTAGTACTAACGTAAATATGTTGAAGTTAATATTATTCATATTGTATTGGACCCGATTTTAATTATTCGTTAACACAAACTTCACAAAATACGTTAAAAACGAATAGGATAGAATGCAATACACTGGAAGTTCTACTTTGCAAATGATCTTTAAATACAATCTCAATTGCTAAATCAATACAGGTACAAATACATATTGAGTTTTTAAAAACCTCTGGAATGTACCACATTGTTGTATAGGGGATCGATGCCAAATTATGGAAAATATAACAACCAATTGTTATATTTTCCAAATTGAAAAATTAGGATTGCGTTGATTCTTAAATAATACATGTCAATACCGAGAAATGCAGCTAGCGTTCTTCGCACAGTGCCTTTATAAAATAAATTGTTGTGAAGAATTAACTAATGTTAAAATGAAAGTATGCCAAAGTAGGAATACACGATATAATAGTTTTAAAGGCATGATGAAAAAAGCTTTTAGGCGATATGAGCTTCGCGTATTGGTAGCCTGAAACTCATATAATCTGGCTTCAATAACGAAGAGATTATCTCCACAGGCTGATAGCAGATATGAAAAAAAAAAACACATGTGACTTAAAATATATTTGTGACAAAAGTTAAACTACAAAGATGAAATTTTGACCATTTTCTTTTTACAGGGAGAAAAATTGAATACGTAAACGACTTTTTTACCTTAGTTGAAATTTTAGCGGCGATAGAATACTACGCGGGAGTTATAAACGTGGCTTGATTTTTATAACTATTTATTGAAAATTCATTATGCATCGTTCGAATCATTTGGAAGCAGGATAAAAGGTCATTAACAAGTGGTAAAAGGTCGACTGTATTAAAATACCAAGCGACCGATATGTTTATAACGGTAAAATAGGATCATTTTCAAGATTAACTTGGCAAACTTACGTGAACATACATTATTTATAATGGCAGCAAAATCAATAACGTCGATTAAATAAGATTAAAACTTATTACTGAAATACTGCAATTTTTGTTTATCATTACTCATAAATTTATCTATTTATGTAGGGTCTCAAAATATTAGCATTTGTATTTGACCCTTGAAATACCGTAGATACCTAACTCTATGAAGCGTCGTAGAACGATTCCAAGAATAATTTAAAGTTAACGTCCTGGAATCTTTACTGCTAATAAATAAAGGACGTCAGGGCATTTCGATTTAGATTCCGTAAAGGAATGTATTGAAAGTGATGTTTATTGGAAAGCGGAACTGTAAAAGAGGGAGAGCTAATCTAAAACCATTAACAAACTGAAATTGAGTTCCCGAATAATAGAAACAAGGCGGTAAACAAAGTTAAATAATCATCTAATTGGACAGAGCCGTAAGCGTCAGTCCAATAGCCTATTCGTTAAACATAGAAATTAGATAATAGGTTCGCGCGTAACCGCTTTAGTCCGCCCCGCACCGCCTCAAACCGGATTCACCCGGTCGAGTGGGCGATCCAACATGGCGGCGCGCTATTCAAAAATCCATTACACGTCAATCTGAGCATTTGTCGCGTCGGGCGCACGGGGCACGAACCCGAACCACTTTCCTATTTGCTTTTAAAAATGGAACGGATTATTTCCCATTTACCCCGTTGATCACAGCTAGGCTATTAGCTCGGGACGTAGCGGTCCCGATGGGTTATTGGATAACAGTTCGCGATAAAGTTGTGAACATTTCAGTTTGTTTGTAGTTAACATTTTCACAAATAAACTTTTTATCATTCTTTATGCTTTTTATTTATTACTTGGCAATGAAACATAGGTTAAATACGGAAAAAATGTTTTATTGTTTTAATTTGTGTTTTTTTAAGGAAGATGCGAAATAATCCTTGTTGGCGTTTCCACTTGAAGTAGCAAATAGATTACTTCTACACGCGTGTGACTCCTTTAAGACGATTAGTATCTTATCCTTTAAACGAGCAATTCTTGTATATATATATATATATATTCCGATTATATATATATATATATATATAATCGGAATCTCGGAAACGGCTCCAGCGATTTTCATGAAATTTAGTATGTGCGTAGATTCGGGGGCAAAAAATGGATCTAGCTAGGTCTCATTTTTAGAAAATGCCCTTTTATCCCTGTTTTCAGGGAATGAAAAATATAATTCGAATATGACGGTAAATTTCGCCGCAAGAGAAAATGTCATAATAGCTCGGTCGGTAATCGGGCGGCCCCAAAACAGACGGCCGTGGTTCGCGTCACGATCATTTACACATTTATTTTTTTAGATTCCAGATCATTGCTTTCTTTATTTTTAATTTTTTGTCGATTTGTTATTTTGTTATGTTTTTCCCTTTTTTTTAAAGTTGTTTCTTTTGTGAAAAACATCAGTACGTATTTTCTTATTATTACGTCGGTAAGATCGAAAAATATTATGCATATTTCATTACTCAATAATTTGTATCTAAATGTAATTTCCAAAATGCACGATTTACCAAAAAAAAAAAAACAAACCTCCTTCCTCCGGTCCTCCGGGTACTTATTATATTATATGAGAGCATAAATACTTCTATGCGACCACGGGACTTCCCCGACGGACTGGACATTCCTTTCTTTTAGGAGCTGCCACGTCCAGAGTAATATTTTTTTCTAATTGTCATCATCATTTTGAAAGATATAAAACCTACGGACTGTATGAATGTTTGTTCTTATCAGAAGAAACAAAATATTTCTAGGTTACCAATATGTACTGTTCTCTATTTGTGTTGTGAGAATATTACTATTCCCTTTACGTTTGCAAACGTCGTTACCTTTACATGTAAATGGGAAAGTTTCTTGATTCCATCCAAGTAGATGTATTAGAATACTCCCCAGTGGTTTAGTTTACGGCCCGTTTCAAAGGTAGTTTTTAACGTTCAATAAGAGCTTAAAATAAACCTATGTTGAATAAACAAATTTCGACTTGACTTAAGTAAGCGCGAACTGAATTGTTTTGGTGCAGGGCGCGGATGCCTTTTGATGTTCACCGAGGAGGCTCAATTTTTATGAGTTGTTAGTTCGATGGTGTGTCTAAAAATTTCGTGTTGCTCGTTACGAGCGGAGTCTATTATTTGCATTTAATTGACGAGAGTCTTTGTAAAGTTACTGTGCCTTTTATCTGGTGAGTGCGGTAGCCGGGGCCCACTTTTTAAAGGTTGTCAACGCATCTGCAAGCCCTCACATTTAGTAGATGTTAATGCGGTAACATCGGCCGGCACAACAGGTGAACCGTCTGCTCGCTTGCCAACTTTTCACATAAATTGAAAATAAAAGTAGGTACTTGTATGATTGTTGAAATTTGTTCTCAACTACCGACCAAGTTATCAGATTCATATCTTGCAGCACATGTTAAGCAGTCCAGTAATCTGACTACTTCAAGCTGCCTCTAAGTTACATTTTTATTGTAAGCCATTTGCTATCTTATATATTGAGAGAAATAATACGTTTTATTTCATATCATCATTTGCATGTTTTAGACAAATGTCTATCTGAAATGTCTATCAAATGTATCTACATTTTATACAAAATATTTATTGATTTTATCGTTTATTTATTTGGCACGGTTACAAAATACAAATTTTAACATGACTAAATTATTACAGACTAATACATATTACTAAACTTGCATTTCAATAACAACCGAGCACAACATTCAATTTTAATAATGTATGTAATAAATTATAGTTATAGTCATACTAATTTACTTATAACAAAGAAGTAGACCAATGTTCTTAGAGGACTTAATAGTTTTTAAAAATAATAACAAGTTTTGATGAAATATATCTATGTCTCTACATAAAATATTATACTGTCTACACATTCGAATTAAGGGATTGTTATGAGATCGTTCGTTGTTTCACAATTGTAAGTTTATTTTCATAGTTAAACTATCTAAACATGTGGCTATAAAACTAAAGTCCGTATCCACCATCATTCGGCATTTTATAGTACAATAATCATATCACTTTAAAAAGCATGCGTAATGTTCATAAACCTGTTTAACGGAAGTACAGCATCGGGCGTCCAGATATCGAGATATAGTGGGGATGGAAGAGGGGCCGCGAGTGGGGTATTCCCCCAGTACCGCACTAGATTAAACGAATTCCACGAGTGCGCTATGACTGGCAATCCAATTTATTACGGGGATCTCCTCAATAAGCTTTCGTATTAAGAAAAAGGCGGTCGTATCGGGCGCAATCCAATTATTAATTGATCAGACTTTGCCGGGACGTGGTGGTGACAGAGTGGTAATTTACCATCCCCCACAACGGTCCTCCGACTCCCCTTTCTGTGAGTGGGATTTTACTTTAATTGAAAGCTATAGGGTTGTACGGCGGTGGATTTTACAACACAATGTTTTACTGAAATGTCGCTAATTCCGTATCCACTTTAACTAAGATAATGCTCATTCTTTACTGATCTTTTGGATTTGTGAGT